AAGTGTCCTTTGGGTTTCCGAGGCTCACCATCTGGATGGGAGCAGGAAGTCTCTTTCTCTAGGGAGGTCTGGTGGGTTCAAACTACTGACCAGTGGTAACCCACGACACCGCTAGGGCTCTCCCAGCACTAGTATCCACGAATCTGTTTTTGGTATCTTTGTATTTGTCTTTTTTGGGTATTTCACTTAAATGGATACTTTTGTGGCTGGCTTCTTAGCATGAAGTTTTCAGTTCATCCATACTATAGTATGTGTCCTTACTTCATTCTTTCTCATGCCCAAATAATAGTCTATGCTCCGGAAAGATCACGTTTTATGTGTTTATCAGTTGATGAACAATATGTAGGTTTGTTTTTCTGAAGAATGCTACTATATCATCACGCCCAAGCTTTTGTGTGGACATATGCTTTCATTTCTCTTCCGTGTCCATGTACACTAGCAGCTCAGTATGTAGCTACTCACAGGCCGGAACCAGCAGCTGCTCCACGAGAGAAAGGGGAGGCTGTCCACTCCCGGGGCAGTTCTGCTGTGCCCGACAGGGTTGCCGTGAGTCAGAATCATCTGCATGGCAATGAGTTTTGGTTTTATGTTCTAAGACTCATTCATTATGTGTCAACACTTGACCCTGGGGCCCTCTCATCCAGGGAGTCGGTCCTAACGTCATTGTTGTTGTTTTGTTAGGTACCATCAAGTCGGTTCAGACTTCTAACTGCCCTGTATGCAAAAGCATTAAACACTGCCTGGTCCTGCACCACCCTCACAGTTGTTCTTACGTGTGAGCACATGGTTGCAGCCACTGGGTCAGTGCACCCTGTCGAGGGTCTTCCTCTTTCACTGCTCCTCCACGCTATCAAACACGATCTCCTCCTCTAGGGACTGGTCTCTCCTGATAAGATGCTCAAAGTGTGTGAGACAAGTCTTGCCATCATTCCTCTAGGATCATTCAGGTTGTCCTTCTTCCAAGACAGATGTGTTTATTCCTTTGGCAATCGTGGTCCTTCCAATATACTTTGCCAGCACTATAATTCAAATGCATACATTCGTCTTTAATCTTCCTTATTCAGAGTCCAACTTTCACATGCACATGGGGCATTTGAAAATGCTGTGGTTTGGGTCAGGTCCTCAAAGTCACATCCTTGCGTTTCAACACTTTTTCCTCACCTCTTTGGCTCGGGGTAGTTGTCCTTTTCCAAAGATCTGAAAATACTGAGTAATATTACCAGATTCTATTCAGATTATCTCTATATGTTTATCTCTTCCATTCCTCTGTAGAATGGAGTTTATGTCTCATTCAACCTTTTTTAAAAAATCATTTTATTGGGGGCTCATACAACCCTTATCACAATCCATACGTCCGTCCATTGTATCAAACACATTTGTACATTCGTTACGCTCAACATTCTTAAAATATTTACTTCTCCACGTAAGCCCCTGGC